CAACCCGAGGCGCTCACGACCGGAAAGAGCTACTCAAACGGTCATTATATGGGAAACACTCGCGACCTCAGTAACACGACCCGCCCTCACACATGATGCACATCCACGACCCTTGCCTCGCTAACCTCACCTCACGTTCAGACCCCCCTTCCTCATACAATACAGGGAACTCTACCACACGCCCACTGCCCATGGCAGAACAACACCTCTCCATAGCGAGGACCACCATCTTCCTCTAAAAGATAAGCCCTAAAAGACGAGTTGAAAGAACGAATAAAAATTGAAAAGACGCAGAAGACCACCAGAAACCTATAACGAGCAGCTACGAGCAATAGAAACAGTGACTAAAAGAAGCCGAGAGGCGATCTCCCGTGCACACATTCCCCCTCTCCGACTTCCAGGCACGGAATGAGCCCCTGGCCTGTGCTAGCAGGCCACGCCCCCAGATATTCTGGAGAGTTCCACCAGAACTCCTCCCTGCCTCGTGGGAGGCAGACAAATGTTTTTTCTCTCCCCATTTTATGGGGAGAGGAAAACTATAATATAAATTCTCATGGATAACCACCCTACCAGAAAGGGACCCCCCCCCCCCCAGTGTGGCTACAAAATACAGGCGGACCGGCATTTTAAACACCAATTCAATTCGCATTTGGGCCATTGTAGAAGGCTACTGAAGGTCATTTCTTAGGCAAGAAATACGTACTCAGAGGTAGTTTTTACAGTCCTACATTTAAAAGAAATTGGCTACAGCTCCTAGTCTCCCAGGTGCTATATGTGATACTTTCTTATATTCCACACAGAGGGAAGGAGAGGACAAGAAGCATCTTGATGTGAATCGTTTGAACATTTTCACCTTTCACTGCAAAAAAATGAGAAGTAGATTATTGATGTCACTGAGGCCATTTCAAACTTTAACTAAAACGTTCTCTACTTGCATGTGCTAAGATTATAATTGCTGCTTTCAGGCTACAAAATGACATCAAGTATTCTGAAAAGGAAGAAACTGATGGCTTAATGACTATTGCTGGACACTTTTTCTTTTTCTCATTCATAAACGGAAACTGAAAGAAAATAAAATTCATTAACTTCGCAATGATTATAATATAGAGATTTCTTTTACTCTCTCCCAACCAGCACAAAAGAGGAGGAGGAGAAGGTCTACAGTCACTCGATGGGATTATGTGTAACTAAGAGAACAAGGTAACACAAAGTTTGATTTTCTGCCTCTCTCTTGAGAACCAAACTGATAATTTGTATGAAGAGCATATGCTACAACAATAACTTCTAGTTTCATTTCACAAGCGATCTTTTTCATTCAATGCCGGCAATCCTAACTGGAAAATATTCTCCTCACTTCCTCATTAGTTTGATATAAGTATTAAAATAGGAATAATAGAAATCCTGTATTTTGTCAAGCAAATTAAATTAGATCAAAAGGAAAGGGAGATAAAATACTGTCATGGGATTGCGGTTGCAAACAGAGCCAATAGTTCTTGCATTCTTGGCAGTAGGACATGACATCTTTGAACTGAGGAAACAAGCCTAATAAAGTGTAGCAATTCAGTACAGGGACTTAAAAGCACACAGGTAGGGTTACCAGGTCAAAGGCAACTGAAAATTTAGGAAATGGCTTTGGCTTTGCTGGGTGTCCCAACAGAGAGACAAAATTCAGAGATGTTAAAATCTGGACACACATCTTCACCTTGTGATACAAGTGAAGGGATGTAATGCTAATTAAATGAAACAGTATCTAAAACATGCTTTGCTCTTTTCAGGCATCAAGATGTAAAATATGATGACATATTTGATACCTGTTTCATTGGCGAAATCTAAAATGTAATATGGATACATTAATATCAGTAATGTTACGCAAAATAGGACTAGCCTACTCTAGCCACTTGTTATTGTTCATTCGTTCAGTCGTTTCCAACTCTTCGTGACCTCATGGACCAGCCCACACCAGAGTTCCCTGTCAGCTGTCACCACCCCCAGCTCCTTCAAGGTCAGTCCAGTCACTTCAAGGATGCTATCCATCCATGCCCTTGGTCAGCCCCTCTTCCTTTTTCCTTCTATTTTCCCCAGCATAATTGCCTTCTCCAAGCTTTCTTTTCTTCTCTTGATGTGGCCAAAGTACTTCATCTTTGCCTCTACTATCCTTTCCTCCAATGAGCAGTCGAGCTTTATTTCCTGAAGTATGGATCTTCTTGGAGTCCAAGGCACTCTCAGACTTTCCTCCAACACCACAGTTCAAAAGCATCTATCTTCCTTCACTCAGCCTTCCCTAAGGTCCAGCTCTCACATCCGTAGGTGACTATGGGGAATACAATTGCTTTAACTATGTGGATCTTCATTGCCAGTGTGATGTCTCTACTCTTCACTGTTTTATTAAGATTGGTCATTACTCTCTTCCCAAGAAGTAAGTGTCTCCTGATTTCCTGGCTACAGTCTGCATCTGCAATAATCTTTGCACCTAGAAATACAAACTCTGTCACTGCCTCCACGTTTTCTCCCTCTATTTCCCAGTTATCAATCATTCTTGTTGCCATAATCTGGGTTTTTTATGTTTAGCTGCAACCCAGCTTTTGCACTTTCTTCTTTCACCTCCTTGCTTTCAGCCATCAAAGTGCTATTATCTGCATATCTAAGGTTGTTAATGTTTCTTCCAGCAATTTTTACCCCGGCCTTCCATTCATGAAGCCCCACACATTGCATATGTTCTGCATACAAATTGAATAGGTTGGGTGAGAGTATACAACCCTGCCATACGCCTTTCCCAATCTTGAACCAGTCTGTTGTTATCTTGTACCTATTATTTGTTTAAGAGGTAATAGTTTAGGGTAACTCACACTTTCTGCCACATTCTGTCATATTGCCCCCCCCACACACACACACACCAATACACACACACACACTTAGCAATTGCTATACAAGTGGCTACACTCACAACCCAACCCAGTTTCACGTCTTAACTTCTAAATATAAAAATTGGAAGCTGGTATCTTTGCAATGTTATACACAATGGTAATTTAGACTGTCAATGACTTGGAGTTCCTGATTCATGGGAAATCTATATAAACTTAACACTCTCTACTTTAAATCAACTGCAGTTATGAGTATTCCTGATCCACAAACTCATTGTGATACTACAGGATGCATAGCCCGCCTGCTACCTAGGACCTTCCACACTACAGGCTTTTAGCACTATGATTCCACTTTTAACGGCCATGGC